GTTCATTAGGTTCACACACATGTTTCAATCTTATCTGGATGTCGTCGCCTGGTAATCCTTCCAAATCCTCCATAGTTTTGATGAAGATTATGAATCTAATTTTTAGCTACTGATTAAAGATATTGATCGATGAGATTGACAGTTTCTTTATTGATTGGAAGTTACAGAATAGGCTGACAAAATAGGATACGTTAAGATTATTCACTTTTTACAATTCTACCCTCTGAACCATGTGAACCTAATTTTTTATTAATATGATAATTAAATAATTAAATTTTTTGTCTCAAAAAATGACAACCGTTGGATGTTCAAATCAACGACCAAGATCAGTTAATAAAGTTAACACGATAATTTTGGTTAGTATTTGAACCAGCCCATATATATATATATATATATATATATATATATAGGGTTTCATAAATTAAATGTCCTTAGTCTTTTTGCTATCCTGGGTCGTCGCCCCTTGGGCCTATGGCCAAGGCGGGCCCTGAATGTGTTACCTGGTCAAACATAATTCCTTTAGCAAAATCAAAGAATAGTTGAAAGTGAAGTCAGATAGACACCAATATAAATTGGAATTATCATCTAGTCAATAAAAAAATTCAAAAAACAGATAAGTTAGATAAGTTGACAAGTACTATATGGCAAGTCGATTTGAAGTGAAGACTTAGGGACCAAGTTTCATCTACTAAGTCTAGTCCTAGAGTAGAAACATGTTCAACATGTTAGACAAAGTAAATATCACTTACTTTAGTGTTCAATCTGCCACGAAAGCATGGATGGTGATTTAAAGTGAAAACTTAGGGACCAAGTTTCAACTTACCAACCTATGTCCTGGTACGGGACGTACTCAACATTTTAAACAAAGTATGTCCAAAATTACTATTTTATTAGTATTGTACTTCCTTTATTGTTTAATTTTCGCTATGCATACAAAAGAATTGTTGAAGCAACAAATATTTACATCATATCAAATGGCTGATATGAAAAATACAAGGGTACATGGATCAATAAATCAGATGAAGCCATCAATTCAAGTTGCATTATATCATTAAATGCATGAATCATTATAAAAGATGGTCTCTAGATCATACACAACCCTATGAAGAATTTCTACATGCAAATTCTTTTTTTTATTAACCTGGATATCCAACTCGCTATGCAAGCCGACTAATCCCAGGACGACCACCTGCTTTGCAGATAGTCCGGAGTCACCGCATTTGAACTCCATGGCCACAAGGGAATTTTTATTTCTCCTTGGATTTGAACCTGAGACCTCCTGGTACTTTTAACCTTTGGAACCAAGCTCAAACCAATCAGGCACCACCCTTGTGGTTACTACATGCAAATTATTGCAAATCGGCATTTTAACCTCGAAAGACTATCTCAGTTCTTCATATCTGAATGAGTACCTTCTTCTATTCTTTTAGTATTTCTTTATGAATAAGTTTGTCACCTAGTCAAATTGTTTATGATCAGGTCTTACCTTCCTAGCTTCTACAACAAATTTATAATTCTTTGTT